GCGCGGGCGTGGGGACCGAGCCAGGGGTGGTGTCAGCCAGCCCTGCGGTGCGCTCGCGGGGTGGAGACGGCGGCAGAAGGGTCCAGGCGGAGCTGGACAGACTAGCGACGGCGCGGCCGGCCGGCGCAGGCCAGCGGCCAGACGAGAAGCCCCAGGCGGGCAGAGGCCGGGGAGTGTCCCGCCGTGTCCCGCAAATGCCGCCTGCAGGCAGGGCGGCTGCGGAGCCCACTGAAACCCGCCCGCACCCGGCCCGCTCCGGCCCGCGCGGCTCCGGCGGCACAGGGCTCGCCTGCTGCCTGCGGGTCATGGCTCCGACCGGGAAGGCCCGACTCTCTTCGGGCCCCAAACCCGAGGCGGCCTCGCCGGGCCTGCGCCAGGGAGGTGAGCGCTGGTGCGACGCTAGCGGACATCACGCCTTCGCCGCCGAGACTGGCTGGGCGGTCCCCCGCCTGTGACCTCGACTCCCCCTAACGGCCTGAAGGCTGAGGTGAGCGGCGGGCGCTGCGCGGCCGACCTGGAGCCTAGAGCTCCCTCCTGGGGCTGTGGGGTTTGCTCGTGCGCGCTCAGACGCGGTCTCCGTATGTCGTCCAGGCCGGCCTCGAACTCGTGGGCTGCTCCTGCCTCTGCCTCCGGTGTGCAGGCACTACGGGCGCGCCACCGAGGCCTCTTTGGGGCTCTCGGTCTCGGCCAGGGAGCCGGAGGCCTCGCCCTCAGCCCTCTCCGCCTTGCAGGCTTCCCGAGCCTTCGGGGGTTCTCCGAAACTCCCTCCCGGTTTCTTGCAGCAGCGCCCGCCGGGCCCACCGCTCGCGCCTGAATTGCCGCCACCACCTCCTCCTTGCTCCAGGCCTCGCCCTCGGCCTCCCGGCTGGCGGCCTCCCCTCGGCCTCCAGGTGTGCACCGGGGCTTCCGGGCTCTGCCCTCGCGCTCGCTGGAGGCCTCGGGGTCCGGCTCTTCCGCCGGGCCGCTCCCTTACCTCCACCACCAGGGGGCTCTCTCCCGCTGGCGGGGGCAGGGGGGTGGTGCTTCAAAAAAAAAATTTTTTTTTTTTCTTTTTTTTTTCCCCTGACAAGTCTATGTAGCCCCGGCTGGCCTCAAACTCTTCAATGATCCTCTTGCCTCAGCCTCCTGAGTGCTTGGATTATAGGTGTGGAGCATCACGCCCAGTTGCAGACCTTTTTAGTCTGTTTTTTAATTGTATTTATTTTTTCTTGTTCAACTGGGACTTGAACCCAGAGCCTTCGCACTGAGCTACGTCTCTAGCACTTCGGAGACAGTCTTATAAGTTGCTCAACCAGATCTCATTCTCCGGAGAAGTTGAAATCTCACGTGTACCTCACTACATCTGGCTCAAAAGTCTGCATTTTTAAAAATGTATTTAGGGGGCCTGGCCATAGCTCAGTTGTTTAAGTGGCTGCTTCCACAAAGCTGTCAGCCTCAGGTTGCTGGAGTTCGATTCCCACAACACTCCAGCCAGCCAAACCACGCCTGAGGGCATTCAGAGAAAAAAAAAATGTATTTAGTATAAGGTCCACAAGGTCTCACTATGTAGATCGGAGTTGTAGTGATCCTTGTGTTTTCAGCCACGCAAGTGCTGGGATTACAGGCATGTGCCACCAGGCCCAGTCTGCCCTCTCAGCACACTTCGGAGCTCGGAGGCGGGGCCAGCACAGCTTGTGGTGCGGGGGATCAAACCCCAGACCCTGAGCTCTGCCTAAGCGGCTGCTTTAATCCCCTGAACTATCTGGCTGGCCCTTAAAAGTCTGGATTTTTGAGACACAGCCTCCCTGTGTAGCCCAGGCTGGCCTGGAGCTCACTTTGCTCCTCCTGCCTCAGCCTCCCGAGTGCAAGGGTACAGGTGTGGCCGAGCATGCTGGGCTCACAGTCACCTTTGCAGACTTTCTCCTCTGAGCCTCATCCCGTCTGCAGGAGGGCAGAGCAGTCAGGGTGACCCTGTCCTGGTGTTCCAGGTGATGGCAGTTTTGTGTCTGCCCTGCTCCCTTGATGCCAACTAGCTGAGCTTGGAGGGCTGTTTCTTAGAGCTTC